ATTTTTTGTCCTTTCCTATTTGTTTTTGGCTACATTAAAGCATTTTTTTGAAAATATACAGTAAGGTTCCATATTACCACCCGATTTTCTCTAAGCCTACTTTCGGACCTTTTGTACAAAAGCCTTCAAAAACCATACTTATAATTACACTAGCGAAAAATCCAATTAGGAACATTTAGTTTACTAGTTACCAGTACTTTCTGCACAAAAAATGTGGGTGTAGTTATGATACCTTGTTTACAATTCACTAAAATGTAATTGGGGTTCCATAATACCACCTTCTCCTCTATTATTCATTTTTAAAAAATCTTGAAACACTATTAATTTTTCTGTAAAAATCGAAACAAAAATACAAATTTAGTTTATTAACAAAAATTAAGATTTTACTTATTCTTCATAAACACAACTAAAGTAATTTTATGGTTATTTAAATCGTTGATGAAGTAACACTTGTGTAGAAAAAACTTTCAACTTGGCACGTAGTAAATTAAGAAGTTTTGGTATGTATAACAGTAATTTATATTGTATAATCAAATTAATACTAAACATTAAGTCAGTGACTCCCAAACAATTTTTTTTTTTCATCCAATCTGTTTGACTGGAAGATTTAAACTTTCCTTCTTAATTAATATCGTTATAATGATACGTTCTGAAGTAGAACAGACCAGGCAATATGTAAATAAAATAATGGTGTACAAATTGTGCATATTTATAATTAAGTTAAACGCACCGGTAGTGGACACTTTGAACATCAAATATGAGTAATCAGGTTGTAGATGGCTTCACTGTTCAAGCATACAAATTATTCAGTAGACAGAACTTCTGTCTACTGAATGATTTGTATGACAGAACTTTTTTTGCTAAAGTCGGTAAAAGTCTTCAGGTATAAATTTCCTTATTTTGTTAATGTTTTTCTTTATTCTTGTAAAATTGATTTTCATGTAAGATGCATTTCTTTTTTGTTGTAAACCTCCATAACTTTAAACAACTAAATTTTGTTTTTATTTTTGCTGTTCAGTGTTATATTACTTTTTAATTTTTACTTAAAATTTTTATTTGTAATTTCAATGTATTTTATTTCAAGTTTTTACAGATCTTTCAATAGCAGAAAAAATGATATATAAATGCATAGCGTGTGATATGAGTTTTCATGATATAAATTTATTACTTTCTCATCAAAAGAATCATAGATTGGAAGAAAATCGGTGCAAAGTCTGCCTACAGAAAATTGTAAGAAAAAAACCTTCAGTAAAACACACAAATGACGTCCACCCAAAAGCGAATCCTTCTACTTGTAAACGATGCTCTAAGAATTACAAAACTAAAAAAGTTTTGCTTAGTAATCTGAAAATGCATGCAAAAAAACTGTATAAATGTACAATTTGTCATGCAGATTTTACGACTAAAGAAAAATTATTGCAGCACAATAGGGAACACGAAATTTTACAACCCCCCACTCAATTCTTGCAACAACAATCGATGCAAGCGGGTCCTTCAACTCGAAACGTGCATCAACCATGTCTGCATGCTGATCATTCTACTCAAAATGTGCAAAAATTATCAATGCAAGCTGGTCTTTCTACTCAAAACCTGCAGGAACCATGGATGCAAGCGGCTTCAACTGAAAACGTGCAACAACAATCAATTCAATTGGATCCTTCTATTCAAAAAGTGCAACAACCATGGATACAAGATGATTCTTCTATTCAAAAGGTGTAACAACCATTGATGCAAGCTACTCCTCCTACTCGAGACATTCAAGAATTATGGATGCAAATGGGCCCTTCAACCGAAAATGTACAACAACCATCGATGCAAGCTGATTCTTTTACTCAAAAAGTGCAACAACCGTGGATGCAAGATGATTCTTCTATTCAAAAGGTGGAACAACCATGGATGCGCGCTACTCCTTATATTCGAGACATTCTGGAATTATGGATGCAAATGGGCCCTTCAACCCAAAATGTACAACAACCATCGATGCAAGCTGATTCTTTTACTCAAAAAGTGCAACAACCGTGGATGCAAGCTGACCCTTCTACTGAATTCGTGCTGGAACCATGGATGGAAGATATTCTTTTGGTGAAGACTTTCAGCTACCATGGATGGAAGATACTCTTTTTGGTGAAGACTTTCTGCTACCATGGATGGAAGCTGATCTTTCTACTTGAAACATGCAACAGCTATAAATGCAAACATGACCTTCCTGAATGATAAGCTTTGTTGTGCTTTATCGTTTATTGTTTCACCAATGTGTAAATTACTTCGAATAGAAGAAAACAATAAATGATAAATGTCAGAATAATCGGTACTTCTACTTTAGTTGTGAAATGTAACAAATAAATTTACTTTTTAAATTTAATGTAATTCAGAAATTTTTCCTGTAATTTTAATTCATTTTATTAAGTTTTGCTGATAAATTTCTGAAAAATGCTGTTAAACTGAAATGAATGTTTTTTAATAAAAGTTAAGAAGTTACTTTATTGATTTTGATCTGTGGAAAATTTCTGTACATTAAGACGACTCCTGAATTGCAAACTTTTATTACTATACTGATAAATATGTATAGTATTCTGCAACTGTTTGTTTTATTTTTCTGCAATTATTAGGCTTAAATTTTCGATGCTTTCGTTTATTTTCCGAATATTCTAGTATATTACTGCTTACTAGTCCCCCTACTTTTCCTATAAGATGCGTTTTATTGTAACGACATAAAAAAGCATTGCAGTTTGTTTTCAACATTATACATGACACATACGCAAAAATGTTATAAATTAAAAAATTTACAAAAATTATGTATATATTGTTTCATGTATTAAATGCAAATGAAACAGAAACCAAACTACAAACAGATGTTTTTTTAAATGTTTGTTTATAGTTTAATCTCTCTAGTTTAAACACTACTAGAGAGGTTGCAACCGAAGTTCGAATCTTGTACAGCAAGCAGAAGTATACTTTTTACGTTTGAACTCGGAAGAAAACACGTTGCGTCAAACGTACGCGTCGCGCCCTGACTCACGAGATAAAGTTAAAAAATGGCGGAAACGTTTAACAGCGAAGGGAAGTAAACAAATTAAACAATTTCAAAGTGTTTATAAGATGTTTAATAATACTAATAAATTGATTTGCGTCGTGTCTTTTACCGTACAATAAGACGATAGGACTGCTTAATACTTCTGTTGAAGAAAGTAGTGACTTATGTAAATCCTAAAACTCGGAAAATTATTTTTAGAAAATTTACAAACGTATTACGTTGTTGATGGTTAAAGATGCTGTGAAAAAATAAACCTACTTTTACAGAATTACAGGTAACCCCCGCATAACACGGTTGTTACATTCCAAAAAATTGCCGTGTTATGCAAAACAAAGAACTAGTACGAAAAAAAGGGTTAGGTACTAAATCTTAAAAAACATGCTATTATATTTTCATAATTAAGATAAGAAAATTTTAATAAAGATATTTAAGTGATACATATTNTTAGGGAAATAAAGCGATTGCATCATAAAATCGATTACGTCATTTTTAAAGTTCATCGACCTAAAACAAGTGAAAACAAAACCAAAATCAAGCGATTGCGCCATAAAAGAAATATATAAAAGCAAGACAATAAATAAAAGTAATCATTCTTCATATTACTATCGAAAGAAGAAGGACTATTTTCATATCATAATGAACAGAAAAAACGCCGACATGTTAGTTCGCGAAGTAGACCCGAATTTTAAAACTCGCGGGAAAATAGTATGCATAGAAGTCTATGGTGTAAACAGTAGTAGTAGTAATTTGAATAGCACTGATCACAAAATTAGTTTTTCATACGAATAATTTTTTAATGGAATTATTTCAGATCACAAAATTAATTTTTCAAGAGAAATCTTGGGTTATAGATTATGTTAAAAAGCATCAATTATCAGCGAAAGATCAATGGCAAGTCGCTTTTACTACTAATAAAATTTATGGATTAAATTTTATAGACGAAAAATAGATAATTTTAAAATCAACACGTTGTATAGATATTTACCTGAGGTACTGCAATAAAACATGGCAGTTAATTGCTATTTAGAACTTTTGCTTTCTCTGCAGCAGTAGGAAGAAACTGCCTGTATTATCAGGATTGAAGATGTCATTTGTGCTGTACTTAAATATTGTATATTGTTGTAGTCCATGCACATGCTATGTGCAATGAAACATTAATGTTTCTTTGCATATAGATTTTGAGATAATTTCATACATTTCACAAATTTCTCTGTAATAACAAAGAACTGCCTATGCAAGCGGCACACTCGAACATCTTGAAACCAGATGAAAATAACTTTTTGCACATCCTCAAATTGTGTGCTATGCATTTTATTGCTGCTGAACTCAACATTGGATCTTTTAAACTATTTTAATGTTGGATGCTCATTTAAAATCATTCACATAATGGGAAGATTGATGCCAAACTTTCTTGCAACATCTAATATTTACTCAGAATCAACTTCTTATAGAAAGAAGCTTTTTGAAAAATAAAAATTGGTTGCATTTTTTTCTTTGGCATATTTCATTTTGAAGTCTGACAAAATTACTTTCAGTGACTGATGGATCTAACTAGAATGTGGCAAAGTATATCACCCATTTGATACTAAAGTAGTGAAAGGATTCGTTGAATATAAAACTATTATTGACATTTTTTTTTGTAACTTCCTAGTATCATCTCTGTACAAATCTTATTTGGTGGTAGCATTCCTGGCCTATAATCTGAAAGATGCTGTCACTGGTGTCATCCACTTTTTTATAGGGTTTTACTGGGTATTTGCAGAATATTCTAACATAAGTAACAAATAATCCAGTCCACCCACCACATTATATTTGATCTAAGGCATATTCTAGACATGCACCTTTTGTCCAGTCATTTATGAAACTTTATAATCATTTTTATCTAACGCATCCCAGTATTTTGATATATCGAGAATGCTCAGCATAGTGAAAAAACTTTTGATATTTCGAAATTTATATTGACAGTTCTAAAACTGTTTTAGAAATGGCCAAATTAAACTTCAAATTGTTTGCTATAATGACAGGTTATCTGCATGTTTAACAGTAAAAATAAGCACTCTCTTTCAAATAAACCCTTTTAATGTTCTTGAAACTATATTGTTTGATTTTAAAAAAAAGTACAACAAATCCAAACAATATATTTNGTTAACCGAGGATAACTTGCCAAAAATAACAAGTTATCCTCATCCTCTGAGTATTTTTCTGCATTATCTTCACATCCATGCTTTACCTTTTGCAGAATGTATGTAATTTTAAATTGCTTGGAAGATCCACCAGAGCAGGACTCTGCAAACCCTATCCAGATTCGCCAAAGCACTGACACCACCATCAATACAGATAACGATCCTGACTTCATGCTACATGAGATTGACAATGCCTTCTCCAGCCTCAGAAAGAGGAAATTTCCAGGACATGATGACATTACTCCAGAGATTGCGAAAATTACCTGGAGTCTCATCCCGGCCAAACTCATTTATCTGTACAATGTCTGTCTCCGGCACGGCATTTTTCCTGGTACCTGGCAGCGGGCAAGAATTGTTTCTGTCCCGAAGCCAGGCAATCCTAATGAGAGCAGACCTATATCCCTACTGCCTGTTTTCGGCGAGGTCCTGGAGCGGCTAATAAACAACAGACTTCTGTGGCACCTGGAGCACAACTCCATCCTCCATCGCTCCCAATTTGGCTTCCGGCCCCAAAAGTCTACAGCCGACGCCATTAATGAAGTCATCAACAATGTCAATCATCTCCTGGACAATCATAATTATGTCCTTGCCATCAGCCTGGACATCGCAAAGGCGTTTGTCAGTGCCTGGTGGCCATTGATATTACAGAATCTTAGGAATATGAATTGTCCTGCAAACATTTACAAGATCCTTAAAGATTACCTTTGTGACAGATCAGCCACATTACAGTGTGGAGGGCACACTATCAGTCGCAGTGTCGTTCGCGGCTGCCCTCAGGGTTCTGTATGTGGCCCAATCCTATGGGATATTATCTTCAATGGCTTTTTGGTGCAGAATTTTGGGCAACACAACACAATTGCTTATGCAAATGATGCCATGGTGCTCCTCGGATGCCTCTCTAAGACAGATCTTGAGAAAAACAAAACTAGCTTTCTGGAAAATATTTTAACATGGGGAAAGGAACATAAACTAAACTTCAACGTGCAGGAAACTACATGTATAGTTTTTAACAAACCTGGACATCACAAACTATATTTGAGAGTCCCTACCATTGAAATGGGGCCATACTAATGTAAAATATTTTAACATTTCATCGTGTCTGAACAAAATATTCAAATATTTATTTACAATGTTTTCGTATATTTTGGTAGAGTGTAGTGCAACAAAACTGACAACACAAAAAAACTTACGTCTAGAGATTAAATTTCTTAAAAATGGGCTATGATGTAGTCAGACAGCCGCCATTTTGTATTTTTTCTTAATTCGCATACGATCGCGTTTAAACAAAAAATTTAAATATTTATCTAAAATATTTTGGTACACACTGATGCATAATAGTGTCTAGTAACTAGTGATATAAAAATTTTTTGTACTTTAATGTAATTTCTTGAAATACATGGAATAATACATTCATAAAGTTTGAATTTTGTTTTAGGTTTATTTCAATTTAATACCATGTCAAGAGTAGCAAAAAGTAAATGGGGGCTTTGCTCAAAAATAAT